GAGTTTAGTTTTTCAGCTGGCTTAGGGAGAAGGGAGTCTGGCTGGCATGGGGGGCTGGGCAGGGCCCTGGCTCGGGACACCCCTATCCCCAAGATGGATTGTACTGGATGCTCCTGGTTCCTGTAACAACCAACAAACCTTCTGTTCTGAGAGTCAAGTCTGGCTGCGTAGGGGGGTGCAGGGCTCAGAGACTCCCCCACACCCCGTGACACCTGGCTAGACTGGGCTGCAATCCCGACATGGGAAGAGCCGTTCCTGATGCTCCAAGCTGGTGGGCAGGGATGGGCTGGCACCAGAGGCCTGCGGAGGTTGTTCTCTCTCCTGCTGGGCTGGCTGCAGCCAGCAACCCCCTCCCCCTGCCCTTCTTCCAGCCTGGCAATGAGGCCAGGAGGGGGGAGGGGAGGTATCTGCTGGGTGTGCAGCCTTGGGCAGGGGATCGAGGGGGGGGACACCAGTCTGTGGTGAGTAGATTTCAGCCAGTCGCCCGTTCTCCGGCGGCACGTGCATGCGCAATGTGGGTCTTGCTCATGCGCAGTGCGGGGCTGTCAAGTAGATTTTGCAGCTGTTTGTCAAGCCCTGCTAATAGCCATTTATGGACTTAACCTCCATGAATTTATCTGGTTCTCTTTTAGACCCTGTTCTAGTCCTAGCCGCCAAACCTCCTCTGGCAAGGAGTTCCACAGATTGACTATGTGCTGTGTGAAGAAGAACTTCCTTTTATTCGTTTGAAACCTGCTGCCCATTAGTTTCATTTGGGACCAGTTGATTCCCTGTTGTGTTCCCTCCCTCTGGGGCATCTGGCCCTGGCGGCAGGCAGGACACTGGGCTGGATAGACTTTTGATCTGACCCAGTGTGGCCGTTCTTGTGTTCTTATGGTAAAAACTTCTGAGCTACTAAAACAGGCCTTCAAGGGAGGTGGTGGAGTCCCCAGCACTGGAGGGTTTAAAGAACAGGTTGGACACGTGCCTGTCAGGGCTGGTCTAAGTTTACTGGGTGCCGCCTCCTGGCAGGGGCTGGACTACATGACCTCTCGAGAGCCACCCTGACACTTCCACGACGTTCCCTCCTCCTGCATGTCTCTCACAGGCCAGACCTGAGGCTGATGTGATGGAACAGCTGGTGAAAGTGTAGCCCAAGTCACTGCGGTAACCGTGTGAGGGAGCAGATAAAGGGCAGGGTAAAGTTCAGTGCCACACAGGCCTCGTTCACAGTCCATCCGGCATAGGAAAGCCAGATTGCCTCTTCCCTGAAGTCTCCCCTCCTCTGCTATGACATCAGACAACGTGGAGTGTTTCCAATGAGAAGGAGGAAAGTAAAACCCGTGTCGCTTCGCCAGCAACTTTCACCCCAGGATCACCTGGACCACCAATGCAATGCAGCCCCCTCTGGGGTGGAACACAGCAGCTGTTTAACAGCTCCCAGCAACACTATACGGCAGTTTAGGACAGTGAAGTCCAGAGCTTCATAGACGCCGGGTTATTGAAATCAAGGGGAGCGAAGTGCTGAAATACCTTTGAGGAGCTGGGCCTTAGGGAATATTCTATCCAGTGGCACTGAGCAGCCCACAGAAAAGGCAATCAGCTGCCGTTGTGGAGATGCAGCGGGATGTCGGCTGCTTCCATCTGGCCTGGTCTGCAAAACCTCCCCTAGGCTGTAACTCCAAAGAGGAATCCAGCCCGCGGGGGAGCCGACAGCCACGCCGGGCCCCTGGGAAAATTGGGGGAGGGGGAGGCTCCATGCTCCCGGAAGGGGCAGGGCCTTAGGCGGAAGGGGTGGAGAGGGAGGGGCAAGTGCAGCTGGCTCTCAGCACTGTGCCACACCCCCCATCCAGCCTTAAAGCAGCGTTTCTTCAAGTGTCTTCCGCGGCACATTGCAGTTGGAGGTGTGCCGTGGAGAGAACAGAATTCAGAATGGCTGCTGTAAAAAGGATCTTAGGAAGACAGCAGAATGAATTTTGTCAAACAGTTTCTTCACAAAAATCAGACCCATCAGATCTATAGATCTAACTGTTCTATATTTATTGGTTTGTCTTCAGATCGTATAAATCTTTCACCTTTTAGTATTTATATAGATTGCCTTTCTTGCCCATCACTATTATGTGTTTCTAAAAGAAAAGGTTTAAAATGGAATATATATAGGGTCTGATTTTTTGCTAATTTAAACTGGAATAAATCAAAGAAAGTCAATGATAAATGAATCTCATTCACTTCTCCTCTCCTCCCATTCAATGACAGAAGAACATATTAAATGCTACATTCCACTCTGGTATGAGTACTACCATTTGGGACCTGCAAACTGGCAACCCAAGCTTTGTGGATCTGCTACCATGCCCTGTAAGCAGGACAAACTGAGCCTAAATGGTGTTCTTTGATATTTGCATCCTATTGTACTCACAACCATCACTGTACATTGCAGCAGAATGTTTCATACTGTGTTATCCCATGTTTTTCTAAAGCAGAAAAATATTACCAAATGGCATGAAAATGATGTAATTCATATCCAGTGACTTGTGGTAAGTCAGTTACACTCTATCAACATGAGCTTGAGTGCAAAAGAAAGGAAAGAAGATTGCAGACTGTTGTTATTGTTGCAAACTTGTTCATGTCTAACACCTATGTTGTACAGTTCTATGACTGAGTTGGTATATAGAAGAGGGTTTTTTTAACCCTTATGATCCTCCAAGTCAGTGTTTCTTAAAGTGTGTTCCGCGGCACACAGCAGTTGGAGGTGTGTCGTGTAGAGAACAGAATTCAAAATGGCCACCCGTAAAGGGACAAGCCTCCTTTTTGTGTGTGGTTTTTTTTTTTTTTTTTTTTGGTCCACAACTTTTCCCTGGGGGCTTTTTTTTTTCCTGAACAAAAAAATCCTTGGTGTACCCCATAAAAAAAAATTGTTTGGTGTTCCGTGGTCTTTAAGGAACATTGCTTTAGCGCCTCCTGGAGCACACCATGCAGTGCTCCGGCGGCGATTTAAAGGGCTGGGAGCTCCAGGAGGATCCTTGGGGGGGTCTTAGGGCTGGACAGGATCTTCCCCTCTCTGTGGCTGCTTTCAGTGACTCACTGGAAAGTCGCGTTCGGCAGCCAGCCTATGCGGCCCTCAAGGCTGTGTGTGGAGCAGAAGCACAAACAAGCTGCAAGCGAGTTCAACGGCAATCGGTCAGCACAGACGTTCAAATTCACACCAAGGTGGCCGGGGCGTAGCGAGGAGGGGTCGGGGTCAGGGTCGGGGGCAATTGCCCCCAGGTGCCACGCTAGGGCAAGTGCAAGGAGAAAGCCGTGGGAGGGTCTGGGACCGCCCAGCCCTGCCACGGCAGCTGCGGCCACGTCAGACCCACCCACGCCGTTCTACCTGCACTCGCCCTAGCGTGGCACCTGGAGGCAACTGCTCCCCCTTCTTCCCTCTTGCTATGCCCCTGAAGGTGTCTGGGGTAGAAAAGAGCTACTGCCTCGCAGGAGCTTTTGGAGTGACCTTAGCATCCAGTTCGTGGTGCTTTGAAGTGCTGCGGAGGCAGCATGGCCTAGTGGCTATAGCCCCAGTCTGGGACATGACTGCTCATCCAGACTCTGCCACTGGGATGACTTTAGGCAAGTCCCTTCCCTGCTCTGTGCCTCAGTTTCCCCATCTGTAAAACAGGGAAAATGACCCTGGCCTCCTTTGTCACGTGCTTTGAAAAGTGCTAGATTACTACGATTCCAGAGAGAACGAGAACATTTTCAAATCACCCCTTTCTAGCAATGTTTTCCACCGGCTCGGCTCCCTTTTGCCTTTGTCCCAATTTTTGCAAGAACTCTGCAATGCTCTGGGCTCTGTTGCTTGGAGGGCAACGCCCGGACTAGCCGTTCGGCACCAAGAAGGTTTGGCTCTATGGCATTTCACAAAGTCTTCAGACGCCTGCCAACCCGGGCCTGCTGAATCGTAATGGATCCTTTTGCTCGGTTTTCTCTGGCCCGCTCCCCGTAAGAGCAAACGTGCTTGCTTAGCCAGGGCAGCAGGTAGCTCTGAACGGTGGAGGATTCCCCCACGTCGGAGCCGCTGCGGAGACAGCGACGTGAGGAAATGGGCGTGCTCAGGCCATCTGGCTTGCTGAGAGCTTCTTGGCAGAGGCAGAGAACTCTGCAGTGTGGTCAGCAGGGAACGAGAACCCGGGTCTCCACCCAAGAGCGCTGATGTCCGGGAACCGGAAATGGGTGCCCTTGCTAGACCCCAGAGGTGCAATCCAGCTGCAGCTGCCCTGAACTATGACAAAGGCCTTCTGCCTAATTGAGCAAAAGGCCAGGGAAGAGCTGCTGAGCACTCCCCCACTTGTCATGCAGTGGGAATTTTCTGTAATATTTTTACGGAGCTGACGTACCTCAGTTTCCCCCATATACTGCGTCGCCCAGTGGGCAGAAAGTGGCTGGTTAGGGGGCTTAATCCCCCGTCTCCCATCACCAACAATATTTTGCAGCGGCAAGTAAAAGTGTGAACGCTCGTTTGCTGGCAGGCGTGCTCTGTGGCCAACACGGCGAAACCCTCTCGCCGGAGCTGGAAGTATTTTGTTGACAAAGGTGCTGCCAGACGGCATTTGCGCAGGCTGACTTTTAGCAACAGGCAGAGGTGGAAGGAAGCGGGTGAGCCCTGGTGCGCAGCTCCGGCAAGAGCTGGCTCAGCTGCGGCAAAAGCCAGCGAGGGGCTATTGAAAGCGCTGGCAGGGACCCGGGCAATAGGACAGTGCCTGTAAGAAATGCAAAGTTACTTTCACCCTGGAAAGGGCCGTGTCGGTCCAGCCTGGTCGCAGAGAGCTGCGTAGCAGAAATACGCTCCTACTCTCCGGGCAGGCTAACGAGCGGCTGCCCGGCCAGTTCAGAAAGGATTGGCCGAGGCTGACTCCATCTCAGTGGCGGATTTATGAAGACGGTAGCAAATCCAATTACCAGGGTATTAGCACTTAGCAGCTGACACGGTTCCCTCTCTCTCCTTAGGAATGCTGGACCGGATTCCCCAGCGGAGACCCAAGGCCTGAGAGATGTGAGGGGGAGGGGGAGGGAGAATAAGTGTTGTGTGGATGGTGCCAGGGCTCTCACACGGGGGGGGGCGGCTGACCCACGGTGTCAGACAGAGCCGGGTCTGGGGGGGGCTCCACAGCGAGGCAAACCAGCCCCGGCCAGCTGCCTTTTGCAACTGCAAGGGGAGGGTCGCTGCAATGCTTGGGGAGGTGCCGTGCGTGGGCCAGGCTTCCGGCTCGCTTGGACGCACTGGGCGGAGCTCAGGTGAAGCGAAGCAGTAGCCCCGCCCACACTGGGGACACCAAGCTCAGCTGTTCAAGCCACTTTCCCCAGAGTCCCAGCCTGGGGCAGAGGCAGGATACGGCCGGGGGGGCCGTGACATTTCCAGCTGCCTGCCTCCGGGCGAGGGGCAACAGCAGCTGAGTCAGGGGGGTTTCTTCTGCCTGCACGTGAGACCAGAGCTTACGGGAGGCTCGGTGTGTGAGGTGGGAAAGGCCCAGCCTACGCCCCCGCATTGCTACCGGCCAGACCCACAGGCTGGAGCGGACGGAGCATCCCCCCAGCTGGGGCTGAGAAGAGCCCCTCCATCTCCACCGCAGGGGCCAGAGCAGAAAGCTGCCGCTTGCGCCCTGGAGGAACAGCCTATTGAGCAAGTGCTGCAGAGGAACGAGGGGGAGAAAGTTGGGAGCGAAGGGCTGGGGAAAAAAAATCCAAAGGAGAATTCTGAGCATGTAGATTCAGGGTCTGGCTTTAAACAGCCCAGCCTGCAAGGGGCCTTTCCCCAGCCAACAGCAACTCAGCAAGGTTACCTCCACCCAACCCCCACGCAGAGTTTTCAGCCCCAAAAGCCAGAGCTGCTGAAGCTCACGGCCCCGGTGCCAGCCTTCCCATGCAGAGAGCATCTCACTCCCCCATTCGCTTGGGCTACCTACTCCCACAGGGCAAGTTCAAGGCTAAAGTTGGCAGCTGCCCAGAGAGCACAGTAAGGGCGTGGGAGCAAGCCCTAGCAGCGGGCGAGAGAGCTAGGCTGCAGTCAGAGGGGCCGAAGAGGGACACACCTCTTATTGCAAAGGCTGGTGCCTCAGCTTGAGGGCTGGGTGTGGAGAAAGTGACGAAGGGGAAGGGATTTACTTGTTCCCATAACACGAGAACTAAGCGGCACCAAATTAAATAAGCAGTCGGCTTAAAAAAAAAAACGAAACTTTTTCTTCATGCCATCAATCTGTGGAACTCCTTGCCAGAGGGTGTTGTGAAGACCAGGACTTTAACAGGGTTCAAAGAACTAGATAAATAATTAGCCAGAAGGGACAGGAATGGTGTCCTCATCTCTATTTGCTGGAAGTGGGGAACATGGGTGGTAGGGGAAGGAATCAAGTGAGTCCCTGGTCTGTTCGTGCCCTCTAGGGAATCAGTCACGGGACTAGATGGACCTTCAGTCCAACCCAGCGTGGCCACTCACCAGATAAAGGGGCAGTTACTCCAGTGTCAGGGTTGGTGGGAGGAGTCCTGAACGCAGCACTAAGGCAAGGTCTGGGCCACAGCTGGCGAGGAGGAGGCCACTGCAAAAGCTCAGCCGAGGAGGAACAGGCTGCGAGGGGCTTGTGGCCTTTAGGAGAAAGCTCGAGGCGATGGAGGCGCCCAGGAGGAGCTAGAGCAGGTTGGGTACCAGCACGAGGGCAGGACTGTCAGGGTTGGTGGGAGGAGTCCTGAACGCAGCACTAAGGCAAGGTCTGGGCCACAGCTGGCGAGGAGGAGGCCACTGCAAAAGCTCAGCCGAGGAGGAACAGGCTGCGAGGGGCTTGTGGCCTTTAGGAGAAAGCTCGAGGCGATGGAGGCGCCCAGGAGGAGCTAGAGCAGGTTGGGTACCAGCACGAGGGCAGGACGGCTCGTGGCAGCAGTGATGTAGCCGAGGCTTCCTCAAGACGACCAGCAGCTCTTTAGGAAGGGACCATCTAGCCTAGCAGTGGGGCAGGGAGGGGTTTTTTTGGGGGG